TACACCAGGTTGCCCAAAGCCTCATCCTTCCCCGGCGCCTTACGTGCCCCCGCCCCGCTGTCCTCTCCCCCACGGGTGATCTCTCCCTTTTCCCCCGCTCGGTGAGTGCTGGGGCCGCCCGTCCCCGCTGGGTGCTGCCGCTGCGCCCCTTTCCCTCACTGGGCTCTCCCCCCCTGCGGCTGACTCGGTTTCCCGCCAAAGCCCGGCGTCTCCTCAGCTGCCCCCGCCCCCGGAGCGGCCCCGCCGCTGAGGCGAGCCAAGCCCGAGCCGCTCTCCGCCGCTCCAGGTGCCGCGGGGCGAGGAGGAGGAGGAGGAACCGCTGCTGCGGGACAACCCCCGCCGCTTCGTCATCTTCCCCATCCAGTATCACGACATTTGGCAGATGTACAAGAAGGCCGAAGCTTCCTTCTGGACGGCGGAGGAGGTGAGCGGGTGGGCGGATCCCCGTTCCCCTCGCAGTGCCCGCCCGGGCACGGCCCTCCCTGCCGGCTGCGCCCCCCCCCACACCCTCGGGCGGGGGGGCAGCCTCGGGGCTCTGGTACGGGCCTCGTACCTGAAGCCTCCTCCTCCATCTCTTCATTATGTCTTTCGTCTGGTCTTTTTGTCATGTTTTAGGTGGACCTTTCCAAAGACATCCAGCACTGGGAGTCACTGAAGCCTGAGGAAAAGTACTTCATTTCTCATGTCCTTGCCTTCTTTGCTGCCAGCGATGGCATTGTCAATGAAAACTTGGTAAGGGTGTAGAAACAGTCCTGATGGAAACATCATCTTGTGAATTGAAGCTAACAAATAACCACACTTTTGACATGTGTGCTGGCTGATCTAGCTTGTTTGCTAGATCATGTAGCATTGCAACATATTATGCTCTTATGCTAATTAGCAAGTTGGGGTGCTTTTATCATCTACAAATTAACCCATTCCCCCACGGGCCACTGAGCGTTGCCTTACAGTAACACTCGGCTGGTTCAGAGCCCATGTTTTGCTTTTACCCTCCCAGTGCTCTTCCTAATGGGGGCTAAGTAAGATTAAGTTGTCCCATTTCTCTCGAGACTAAATAACAGCTTATGACTTGGAGCTGTGAGAGGCTACTGCTCTTCACTTGTATTGCTGTTAATAATCCTCATATTTGGAATTAAATTGAAGATGATTCTGTGGGCTGAGCAAGAGCTGTTACAGAGAGTATCAATGCCTCTAACCTGCATCTTAGTCACAAATGCTTTTGCAAATACTCGTTTATTTCCTCTAGGTGGAGCGGTTCGGTCAAGAAGTACAAATAACAGAAGCTCGTTGTTTCTATGGCTTCCAGATTGCCATGGAAAATATACATTCAGAAATGTACAGTCTTCTTATTGACACCTACATTAAGGATTCTAAAGAGAGGTTTGTATTGCTTGATGAAAGGTTTGGAAGTCTTAAGTGTTGAGATTTAAGTGATGAATATCAGTCATTTACTTTGGATTTAAAATAGATTTATATAAAATATTACTGCTGCTTAAGAGCAACTTCAGAGTATCTTTTTCCTCTGAGGTCTGTGAACAAGAACCTGCTTAGATTAATGAAACTGAAACCACTTAATACTGAAATAGAGGAATGAAACTACATAAAAGATGGAGCAGTCAAATAAGGAGAGTGTACTAAATTACAGTAAGCACTTGTGCAGAGGACTTTTGCATCTAGTAGAAAGCTAGGTAGGAAAGTTTCTCTGAGAATGATGCCACTTTTATTAAAAGGTCATCTCTAAAAGCCAGTGCATTTAGTTAACAGCTAGAACTTTTACACAGCATGTGCTGCTCTTACTCACTTGACTGTTTTGCTTAGAGGGGAAAAAAGCATGTTGCATTTGCCAAAAAGTGGCTTGTGGTCTTGATAAACAATATAACCAAAGTGTAAAATTTTCATAACAAGATGAATCAATGCAAGAATGGTATCTTAAAACTAAATTCAGAGCTTTGAGCAGTCCAGACTTTGAGTTATTCTGGTGTTGTCTTGTCAGACTAATATCCTGTTGAGGGAAATTTCATGTGGTATTGCAATGCTGTTTGCAGTCTGGAGATACTTAATTGCTGCTATGTTATAGAAAGCTGGCCATGTCATTTATGTTGAGATGCTTAATTCCAGTAAATGTTTAAGGAAGAATTGCTTACTTGAGAACTTTGGTGCCTTGCTGCTGGAAAGTGTAGGCTGGTTAGTTTTGAAAGTCTTGTTGATGTACAGTACTTGATGAAACAGTACTCCTCTTGATACTGTCATGGTAATTCAGGTGGACTGGTGTTGATGTGATGGGAAGGTGATGAAAAGGTAGCTGATGGGTAGAAATACAGCTAGATTAGTACAGAATAAAATGGGGAAGGAGACTTAATTATTAGGGTGAAGGTGCAGAGTACTTGTAAGTGAACAAGTGTGTCTATGGTATGAATATTGTACTAATTTTGCTAATGAGTTTTATCCTTCTCAGGGAATTTCTTTTTAATGCTATTGAAACATTACCATGTGTTAAAAAGAAGGCTGACTGGGCCATGCGCTGGATTGCAGACAAGAAAGCAACGTATGGTGAGTACATGTATTGGAAGCAAAGTGAAATTCCTTCCCTAAAAAAGATGGAGGAACCACCATTTCTCTAGACTTGACAGTTCACAGGGATTATTGTTGTTCCAGGGAGAGTACATGCTCTTTGGTATAAGATACTGGTATAATTCTGGAGATGAAGAAAATAATTCTCGTCTTGCAAATGAGCTACTGATGTGAATCTTTGTAAAATTGCTGAAACTCTGAATAATGGTAGCTCATGTAGAGCTATAATGGTAGATCTTCATATGCCTGGCTATATGATCAAATTGGAAATTGCTGTTGTGTCTGGAACTGAACTGATTATCTTCAGCAGATGTGTACTATTGGAGACTGTAGCTCCTCTGCCTTACTAATTCTTGATGTTTTGTGTCACAAGTGAGATGAGATGGCAGAGGTCATTATTTCCCTAGTATTGAAGCATTCTTCATGGCCAAAGTTTCTTATTTGACAGAAGATGAGCTGATATTGACTTAAATCAGCTGTAAAATGGCTGCTCTTTTTCAGTGTACAGTCTGGAAAAGGATAGTATCAATGTTAACCTGGGGGAGGGAGCCTTGGCTCAGTAGTTACTCTAATTAGTTTTTACTTCCTCTCATCTTAAAAGTTTTGCTCAATGCCTAGAAACCTTTACTGTAATAGTTTTAAGGACAGTCTATAGCACACTTGAGCTGAAACTTCATCCTTCTTGGAGGATGCTGTTCAGTGGTCTGCTCACAACTTCTGAGAATTAATCCCGTTAAGTTTTTTGTGTGATATTACTATCAATCTTTTCTTAACAGGAGAACGTGTAGTAGCCTTTGCAGCAGTGGAAGGAATCTTCTTTTCTGGCTCTTTTGCATCAATTTTTTGGCTGAAGAAAAGAGGATTAATGCCTGGACTCACTTTTTCTAACGAACTCATCAGTAGAGATGAGGTATGAATCAAATTCTAGCAGTTAAGGTGGTAATGTGCCACAGTAGCTCAAAGCAATGATATTCAGTTGGAGCCTGTGTTTTAAAACAGGAGTATGTTTAGAAACAGGCAGTCTATAAAGCTAACTGAAGTGTGTAAACATGTGTCATCATGGATCTTACAGCTGAAAATAAATGAACTTAGTGTTTTACTTCCTCTAAAGTAGCTTAAGGGCTCTCACCAACTCTTGCACTCAGTGCACTTTGCCATCGGGAGCAAGTGCAGCTGGTACTGGCTGAGCTTATGCCTCCTTCTGGTTAGGCAGAAAGTTGTCTGCAGATAGAGATAGTACTAAATAATGTGGTGAGTGCAAAGATGGTGCCTAGCTATTGGGATATTTATTCTGTGCTACTGATTTGAGTGGCTCTTTTAAATCAATGTTCCTGAAATAATTTTCTCAAACTTTGTTCCAGGGTTTGCACTGTGATTTTGCCTGCCTCATGTTCAAGCACTTGATACGCAAACCTTCAGAGGAGAGAGTAAAGGAAATCATCATGAATGCTGTTCTCATAGAGCAGGTAATTATCTGCTCCTTGTTTAGGAACTTGATCACAATTAAGCGGAAAACTAGGGAGTTGTTGCTGCTAAAATTAACCTAGATGGTACAGTTTCTGTCCATAAAGTGCTTCTATTATCTGCAGGAATTCTTGACGGAGGCGCTGCCTGTGAAGCTGATTGGCATGAACTGCACTTTAATGAAACAGTACATAGAGTTTGTAGCAGACCGGCTTATGTTGGAACTGGGATTTAGCAAGGTAAGGCTCTAATGGACTCAGTCTTTCATGGGGAAAAAAATCAAGTTTAATTTCCTCCAGAAACCCAAATGCTACAGTGACTGTGGTAATATTGGTATAACTTGTAAAGCTATTTAGCAGTCCTGCTGCTAGATCCTGTTTGGAGACCCACAGAAGGAAAAGCAAAAAGATGCTATGGAAAAACAGCTGTATAAGAGTTGCTGTGCTTCTGTCTGCTGCAGCTAGGACAGGAACAAATACAGCAGAGAAGGCTTGGGCCAGAGATTCTCGTTCACTATGTAGTAAGCCTGCTGCTGTTGTCTTTAGACTCCTTCTAGCTGATCTTTAAGGCTTTCATGTATTCAAGATGTGAGCACTTGTAGTGTGACTATAGAATTACCTTTGCATTTCAGATATACAAAGCGGAGAATCCTTTTGACTTCATGGAAAACATCTCTCTGGAAGGCAAGACCAACTTCTTTGAGAAGCGAGTAGGTGAATATCAGAGGATGGGAGTCATGTCGAAGCCCACAGACAACTCTTTCACTCTGGATGCGGAATTTTAAATGAACTGAGACTATATAAGTTAGTGTGTATGCTCCCTGTTTACAGAGAAACATTAAGTATATTGAGTCAGTGTGACTTGATTCCAGTACTAAAATCCCACTCTTGAAAAGTGTGGAGATATTGGTACTTTTCAGGAGGCTAGTGTAGCTCCAGCAGTGAAATCCCTTTTTATTAGACTTCACCAATGGTGTTAATTCATAGAGTGTTTAGATGGATCTCTTAACAACATATGCTACTCCATTTTGTGAAAGATACAGGCACCTTCCTTCTGCAGGAGGGGAGGTTATGGGCAGTGACCACTAGCTTCTGCTGCTCTCTCCATAAACAAAGGAGCAGTTGGGAAATTCTGGTAGTAAATTTGCTGAATACTCTGCAGAAAACTCTGGAGGCAACTACATGACCTCACTGCTTTCTTAGCAGATTTTAAGTTTACTTTTTTACTATTGTTTTAATAGTTTGTACATAAACCTGGCACTTTAATGTTTAAAATAAAGAACTGTCTTGTACTCAACAATGGTAAAATGCAAGTCTAAATCTTTATAGACTTTTGCAACTTAACCTTTCATGCCTTGTGCTTCTTTCTGGGTATGTAACTTAAAAATGGTGCTGCAAATCAAATGATACTGATTTGGAAATCTATCCAGGAAGGAACTTGGTACAGAAGGTGAAGAACTTAAAAAGTTTGATATTCTGGATGCTGAAAAATAACATGCATGGTTTCTGGACTTAATTGCTTTTTCTTTAATATCTGGGAATAGTATTTCATATAATAGTAATAAAGAGCTGGTTGGATTCAGTTCTCCAATGGGTAAAGCTATGTGTTTAATTTCCTTCTGAATTGCAAACTTTGAGGAAATTTGAATTTGCAGGATATAGCTGCTTAGTCGTGTGGTTGGTAGACGTCTAGTGGAATTGTTGTGCTTAGCTCTGACTTTCAGATCAACTCTACTAAATGGATGGTACTTCAGGATAAATTCAGCTAATTCAGGCAGGAGCAGTATTCTTCATTTCTGCATCATGCACTTAAGTTTTGATTTTAATATATAACAATGAAAACACAGTATGTGCTACAACATTGCTACTCCACACTCAACGTGGAGCAACTGGAATGAGTATGCTTAATATAAATTTAGTAAGGGCATGTGGTCTGCAAAGGAGTTCCCTACAGTCTCAGTTTAGAGTTTCTGCAGTGAGATTAATAATGGGATAGGCTGAAATTAGCTACTGCCTTAAATATGCAAAAAGGAGTTTATTCCAGGATCTAATCTAATGTCTGACAAGCACTGTCCTGCAAGTCCACCTTTCTTCCTTAAGTGTCATTGATGTGGAAAATAAATGTTGCAGAACTTAAAGCATTTCCTTGAAAGGAAAGAATGCTGGAGTTTTCTTCTTTCTGCTAAAGTGCTCCCTCTTTTGAAGTATAGTGTATATGGTGCTGCTTTGAGAGATGCTGACTTGGTGTATAATTAACTGACCTGCTGGGCTTTGCTCCTTTGCTCTTGATTGCACTGAAGGTGATGGTGTGTGATTGCTCTTCCCCTGGATCTGTGAAGCTCGCAGGATGTGCATGTTTCCAAGATTATCCTAGGAAGGGAAAAAAACATAAAAAATGAAAAAATTCCAAGCCTCAAAGTCTGGGATTCACAGCAGAAGATACAAGACAGTTAACAGATGGCTCTCTGGAGCACTGATGTTGGTAACGGGTCAGTGAATGCAGTGGTCTGGGAAGAATATATTAGGAATGGGAATAGGGACATGTTAAGTTGGTTAGCCAGACATGGTGTTTTGAAGGACTGAAACTTAATGCTTGTTTTTAAAATTAGGCAGGTTTCCGGCTAAATATCAATGTTTTGTTCTCAGCAAATTGGGCTTTCTGCTTTTTCTTGACTTCTCTTAGTAGTCAAAGGTTTGATCAAATTCAGTCTTATACAAAGTATCAGAACTTGTGTAGGACTGTGTTTTGAGCATAAGTGAGACTAATGTGCTGAGATCAGTTTGGACCTAAGAACAACTTGGCAGCATTCAATTTGTATTCAAACTGTTAATTTATATACTTCAGTAACATAGGTAAAGGGTAAGACTTCTCTAATCTGAGGTCTAGCTATTTTATAACTATCTCTTCCCACTTGATTCTTAGTGTGTGCCAAGGATCAAAACATGGAAATGGTTAGGGTGGAAAGCTTTTATTTGTAATCCTTAAGTTTGGGAGGTATGAACTGGAGCTGTGTCTTCAACATCATATAGGACTGCTTGGAATGGATGTGTGATGACCAAGCAATGGTTTGTAATGGCAGGTAGGAAGAATGTCCTTCTAGCCAAGCATTGCTTGCCTAGGGAAATAGCTACTGTAGACATGGATGCATTAGAGGTAGATTAGATGGGAATTAGAAGTGATTCTGTAAGAGAATAAGACTTGCTGTGGCTGGTCTTATGCTGGTTAATCTTATGCTGGTGCCACTGATGTCTAAGTGCCTACTTAGTTTTGGTTTACATACTTACTATAATGCAAATTGGTTTTCAATGTACAGTCTGGAGAGAAGCTATGCATCTGGTCCCACCTATTTTAATTTTCAGTTCTCACAAAGATTTAAATATCTTGCCGTTGCTTAGCTTGCATAGATTATGTCCAAGTCTTGATAAAATACTTGTTTACTGAAAACAGGTTACTTTCCAGTTTCCCTGAGATACTGTTTTTTTTGACACTTGATCCTCTTAAACATTGAGGAGATAAGTTTTTTCTTTCTTTCCAAAAAAAATAAACATTCTCTGAAAGATAAGTTTCAGTAAAAATTTCACTGACCTTTTGAAATATGTTTTGGAATGGAGTTTGGAGGACCAGGAGAGATTTGAAGCAAAGTGATGAAAGTGCTGATTTTTTTGTTATCCATGTATGAATCAGAACAGCTGTCTAGTAGGGGTTCTGGCACAGTAACTGCCAAAGTGAGAAGTGATTAGGCCAGTAGAGGGGAAAAATACTGAGGGATAAGTAAAACCGGATATATTTGGTGTTGCAATACTGGTGTCGTTAATTTATGCAGAACTGATTCTTAGCTATCCCCTGCTTTTTATTGCTGTTTAAATTAATGGCTTTTAATAGCAGATAAAATGGAAGAACAGTAACCTCAAGCATAGTTTCTCTTGTTATATTTATTTCTTACTGTAATTTGTTAAAACTTGTGTGGGTTCAGGTAAGAAAGCTTCCACAACTCTTCAATTGACACATTTTTTACTTCAGGTTACACATCAAATGTTGAAAACCTTAAGTGATGTGGAGGAGTAAGAGCAGCAACTTAATGTCAGCCTTGTCCTCAGGAAGTGACTGCAACATTAGAGTGTAATGACAAAAAGAAAATCCCCAGATTTCTCAAATTTCCTGGAGTGATGACAACAATTTGTGCCCAGAAGAGGTCAGAGAACAGCTGCAGCTGCTGCTGCCTGCAGCAGGGCATAGCCAGCCTGCAGACCTGAAGGCATGTTAACTGTCTGCTGTGATCCCTGAAGGGTAACCACTTCCTCTGTGCTGGTCGATAAGCAGGAACTTTTCCCTGGCAGAAACCAGTAAATGAACAGAGTTGTGCTCATTCAAAGCCTACTTTATATGGTCAGCCATGGCTCTTTATTTTAAGCTGTTGGTTACCTCTTGGTGCTTTGGCCTCTCTCTTTGTGCATAATGAATTAAGAGAAGTAAATGCTTTAATTGGGAAGGATTTGAAAGTTATGGAGAGCAAAGTCTCGTGTCCTGTTTGCTGAGGGAGGGCTAGGACTTTTGTTAGGGATTCATCCCTTGGGAGTGTTACTGAGATCCTATGATTCTCACAGCACAGACAGTCACTTGGTTTCTGAAGTAAAACAGTCTTTACATGAAGAGTGGCTGAAAGATGAAGCTAAGAGGAAAAAAAAGTCTCATGTGTCAGATAGTGGTTTTATTTTTAAAGTTATGCCAAATTGATCTTTGAAATAATAATATTGCAACTTCCTGAGCCTGCAGAGAAATGGGGAGAAACTTTATCCCTGTAGAGCATGTCATTGTCTTCAATGATGAGATCTTACTGACATTATTCATCAGCAGAAAAATGGTAGTGTTTGCGCATCTGCCCTTAGATGTTGCTATGGGCCACTGGGTGGGATGAAGAAGGAACACTTTTCATAACTACATCTGGGTGTATGACTGGTGCATTGCTGAGTATCAGCTGAGAAACATGTGTTGCCATCATGATCCAGAGGATTAAGCCAAGAGAACAGCAAATCCCAGGGCACTGACTGGTCACCAGACCCACCCACTGTGGGTTTGCCTCCCAACTTGATGGCTTTCTTCCACTCTGCATTGGGCTTCTGAATCTGCTGGAGGAAAGAGTTTGAAAGTGGGAGCTTCACACTCCAGAGGCATGGATTGTGTTAAAGCCCTCCCTGCTGTGGATTCTTATCCTCTTTCTGAAAGTACAAATTGAGATGCATTAAGGGTGAAGGAATTTAAAATGAATACCTTGTCTTCCCCCTGCTGCTAGTAATATTTTAAAACGTCAAACATGTAAAGGAAAAATACCTCAGTAGAATGGTTCTGCAATTCTTTCTGATAGCCAAATCCCTCTTCTGCTTTTTCCCTGAATGTGATACGGTGTGTAGTTTGTGCCACAGGCAATGTTGCTTTGTTCGTCAGATGAAGATTGCAGTGAATTACTAGGAGATGCCTAAACTGTACAGCACTTGGGAAGACTTGTCTGATGCTGAACACTTGAGTTCAGATTTTTCTTTTGGCATAAGAGTGAAGACCCTGGTATTGTAGGATTTGCCTTAAAGTAGAGAGGAGTCTGCAGTTCTTGGATATCCAAAGCCTGGGAGTGCTGAGCTTTCAATAAAAGGTCTTTTATGTGTTTTTGAGCTCTGTGTTTCTCTTCTCTGGGATTAGGGGGTGCTGCTGCTTCTGTTACAGCCTCTGGTATTGTCGAGTGCTGCTGATATAATCCAGGATGACTCGTGTGGTCTTTGCTCCCCCTGCGGTCAGGCCTAGCAGTGTGATACAGTTTATTTTTTTTCTGCTAGATTCTAGTTTTAACAGATCTAACAAATAGATTATCAGGCAATTAAGCCAGTCTGCTAAATCAGTCATTGACTGAGGCATCTGGCCCTGAAGATGCTTTGAAGGTTTCTTTTTGTCAGATGGACAAACCTTTAGGCAAACCAGTTCTTGCAGTGTAAGTGTCCTGTATATGTTCCCAGAGAATGTGTATCTCCAGATCCCTGTCTCCACAAGTGCTGCTTGGGCTAGAGCACTGATGGAGTGC